AAAATAAAAGTTCATTTTTTTCCTCAACCATGCAGCTTTCTGGCTGACCTTGGGCTAGTCACTTTCTTTCAGCTTAGCCAACCACATAAGCCTGCTTGCTGGGATGACTGGGGGTGTGGGTGGGTGGGGGACAAAAGAAGCATGTGCTCCATCCTGCATTCCTTACAAGAAGGGAAATATATCAAGCTAAAAATATAAAACTCCTCACATTCGGTTACCAGAGCTGCTTCAAGTTTACAATTATCAAATCAAACACTTAAGCTCTCTCTTTTGTGAAGAATGAATGCAATCTATTTCCATTTCCATTCCAGGCCAAACAATACATTATTTAAATAGAATTAATCTGTTTTAAAGAGAACATAAGTCATAGAATGAAAGTAACAACAGCAACAAAACGTCTCACAACTAGCTCAGTACTTGTTTAGCTTAGAGATTAAAAATGCTTAGAAACATACACATCTGTAGGACTTTACTCTGTTTCAGAGGTTAAAGATAGCTTGAACCTATATGGTGATACAGATGCATGAGTTCTGCCATGGTTTAAAGTGAAGGAAGGCCAAAACTCAATTCTGCCCTTTTCCTAAAAAGGAAAAGGTCAGAGAACAGATATACCTCTACATCCCCACTCCAGGAACAGAGCCAACAGAAACCCTAAAAACTGTAGTGACATTAGTTTATTAGGAGTTGCGGTGACCATACCTCTTACAGGAAACAATGCCTTCTGGTAACAATTCAAAGCTCTGGTTTTAACCTATAAAGTCCATAGCTGGCCTCAGAGACCATACATGATTTCACAAATACTTTAGGACACAAGGGAATGGGTTCAGTAGTGCTCCCACAATTGCAGACCTTTTCAAGGTCCTTCAACTTTAAAACTGTTCTGTAAAATGGGACTGGTATTCAGCAGCCATGCACATGGGGAAATATGGTAATTTAAATTTGTTTTTATTTGGTTTGATTTAAAAAGAGAGCACATAGTCCAAATTCTGATTCAAGAAAGACCACTCATATGACCTTTGTGAAGGCACATTTAGGCTGTCATTAAAAAAAATTAAGAAGCTATCATCTGTAAAACAGAGGATACATTCTAACTCTGTCTACGTCTGATCAAGAAGACAATGGAAATATGATTAGGTGGGATCTGCAACTAAGTCTTGCATTATGAAGTGCCTCTGTTCATTGTTCCAGCCAGTGATGCTCTCCTTCAAGGTACCAAGTTCCATTTCCCTTCCCATTCAGATTTCCACCCACAACAGTCAGCCAACATTGCCCACTGGGTCATATCTGGAGACCCTACCCTTAGAGAGAGTATTTCAAAAGATGTTTTATACTTCAGCAAATGCTACCATCCCATGAGTTTGCCAACACCTTACTTCCCCAAGCCCAGTTCAAGCACTGATGATGGGTCAGATATCAAAATGACTGGACAGATCTTTTCTTATGCTCTGCAATGGTATTCATCCAGACCATGTCTGAACACTATATTTGTGTTCAGATAAAAGCCAATAAAAACTAAGGTTAAGGTTACTCTTAAAAATTCTTCTAATATTATTCAAGTTGAATGATATGGTCTGCAGAACATATTACAAGCAAACATAATTTCAACAGAAAATAGTTATTCTTATTAATGAGTATAAGAGAATGGTTTTCCGCTCAGATTTAGGGCTCAACATTTAAACTGAGCTGTATACAAATCAGGAGGCAACAATATTGTTTGATTGAATAAATCCAACATAGAACATCATTGAGCAATTTTTTGTTAGTGTAACATTTGACCATGTATCTATTTGGAAATCATACAATTTTGCTAATGCAGTCCTTAAGAATTAATCAACCAGATAGCTATAGCCCTGTTCCTTCAGAGTTAGCCAGTTATGAACACACAAATGTGTCACTGGCATGTCCAGCAACATTTTCCCACGTAGCTATTAAACTAAATTTGGTCAAAATTGGGCATGTATTATCAGTCTGACATGATTCCAACACTTCCTAATAAAAAGAAAGTACAGTGTAGATTTCATGCAACTTTTACATTAAAAAGTTAGTAGTTCTGATATGTTTCTGCCCTCTGTTCACTGTATTTCCTGGATTCATACTAATAACACATCAAATTATGATTTCAAAATAATGATTTCATACAAGCCTGTTCCAGAGAAGGCACCCTAAATTTTAGTCTTAAGAACATAGTTTGATAAGAGGCTAAAACAGTTGTTTGGAGAATAGAGCAGGCATTGCTATCTTTTCAGAATGACCACAGTAACTCAAACCAATAATTTACATTAAAAAAATCTGTATACAGTGGTACCTTGCCTCACGAACGTAATCCGTTCCACGACTCTGGTCGTGACCCAAATTGGTCAAGAGCCAAGTCAAATTTCTCCATAAGGTTCAATGTAAATAAGGTTAATCCGTTCTGTAAATATTTTTTTTAATCACAGGGAAGATGGGCACAATCATGGGCGTGCCCGTGTAGGGAAGACGGGCGCGATCATGATCGTCATCTGATGCGAAGTTCGTGATCTGTGGCAAAATTTTTACGAAATTTCTGTTCGCAACCCAATTTGGTCGTGAACTGAAGTGTAAAATGGAGGGCCTGAAAAAGCATCAGGGAAAAGGAGACAAAGACAGTTCAACAGATAGTACACAAGACAATGGCAAATTACATGTATGCTTTTCTGGGACTTCAAAGCAATCTGGAAAAAGTAGGATGCTTATTTCAGAGGGGGAGAAATCAAAGCATTTTGATTTTGTTTTGCTTTGGACTATAAGACAACTCTGATGCCCTGGTGACATGGAGTATGTGGTTTATAGAAGACAGGGCATTTAGCAGGAACCCTAAATCGTATTTCTTTACCTGATACTGGCATTTTTAAGCTACTAGCAATCAAACCAGTCAGCTTGAATCCAAATTTATTCAAATGATAAGCCCACCCCTATCCAAAAGTTCTGGGTTAGGTAGCTGTTAGAAAGCCCTCCAGCATATATATAGTTCTAAGAATATTAAAATCATTAATAAGTGGATTCCACTGAACTGTGGGTTGGTGTGCTTTCTTGTTAGCATGGAGTCTGGCAGCCCGGAGGAGTGCTACTCTGCTGCTGCTTTAAAGTGCTACTCTTGCAAGTTAGTGGTTGTTTCAGCCAAGCTCCCCTCACCTCCGCAAAAAGGAAACCCCAATATAAAATGACAGGAGCAGGTGGCTGAGGCCATGCCTCAGCAGGGAGTGTGTGGACCAATAAAGGAGAGCCAGGTGACACAGGCAGAAGCACAGATTGAGTTTTGGCTGCAGGGACTGATGGGATACCAGCTGCCATTAGAAGGAGAGATGGAGAAATGTGGAGATCACACATGGAAACCATGCAACTGTCTGAACCCAGGACCCAAGGTAAGAAGCCACATTTGGCATGGTTTAGCATTATGTGTGAATGTAGTCCATGACTGGGTTTGCACACAAATTAAACCATGTTGATTTATAAGTCATGGTGTAGTATATCACTTCCCACAGGTTTATAAGCCATCCTGATTATAAGCCACCCTATTTATTTATTTATTTATTTATTTCAAACATTTGTATCCTGTCCTTCTGCACAATTGCTTAGGACAGCTTACATAGTATAAAATTCCAATAATACAATAATAAAACTACAGTTATTAAAACATCAAAAATTAAGCACTATAAACTAAAAATAAGAAAGGAAAAATAAAATAGGAAGTGCGACTGTGAAAACAAAAGCCAAAAAAATCTTAAAACATTTAAAACCCTTGATTGTTAAAATGATGTTAAATAAAAAGGTCTTTACCTGGCGCCGGAAGGAGTATAACGTCGGCGCCAGGCAGACCTCTCTGGGGAGCGCATTCCATAGTCTGCACTAACTAGCCATGGCTTGTCATAGAGTTTAATAAACCCACCATGGCTTAATGTGTTGTTGAGTAAGCAGCGGTTTACATTAGTGTAACATCTTTAGCCCTACAATTGGAACACAGATATTACCTTATTTGTAACTATTAAAAAATCACAGAAGAGCATTGTTCCATATGGAACGGTTAATGCAAGTACACAAATTTTCCCTTTATTCATTTCTCAGCCTTTAAATTTCACCACAATTTACTTTCCAGATGTTATATTTACATACATTTCTGTGTTTGTTTTATGAAATCCGCAGGGAAATGCAGTAATCACAGCAGTAAGTGCTCTTAAAAGGAGCTGTAAAAAGTGGGGGTCAGTTAACACCACCATTTCTGAAGTACCTGGAGACTCAGTGAAGCACTGAAAAGGTGGAGAGCACTGGGAACCATCAGTTCAATTCTTAAAAGTGAGAGAAAGGGTTGAAAACAACACCAATGGCACTTTCCTGGGGCTTCCAAACAATGAGTAGCAGTTGGAGCAGCAAGAGAAAGACAAGACAAGATAGCACAAGGGACACTGAGACTTATGCTAATGCTGGCCCAAGGATTGAGCGGTAAGGAGAAGAGAACAACCCACAGTAAGCTTCAGCTGCTGGGTATACTGTGCATTGTTCAGTTAAAAAGTCACCCACTGATTGATCAGCCACCATTAGTAACCATTGTAGAGAAAAAACAGATGCAGGACTTCACTGGTGTTAAATATGGGCAATGCACTTAGCCTGTAACAGAACACTGAGATAAACTCTGTCCCTGCCCCAGAGAGCTTACAATCTAAATATTTTCATCCTATTTATCCAATTATTGGCAAAACTATAAAACCAAAGTTACGTTGTACATGGTTTAGACTGGCCTAGCAGGATTCCCTGCACTTTAAAACAAGAAATATTGTATCTCAAAAGCTTATTCCTTATGCCAAAGAAAACTTGAGACCTTCAGCAATCATCTTTAATAAATCCTCATTCGAAAGAAAAACGAAGAACTCTGAGCTATGCTGATTAATGTTTTCAGATGTTCATGGCTCTGAATGAGGTTCCAGAGGTCAGCAGATGTCATACAAAATACCTTAAGTAAGCCCTGGAAGGAAAATAATACTTACAGCTTTAGCAAAAATGACCATGAGTTCAGGGAACTGGTGTGTGAGAAGGGCTAACATTGCTGTGAAAGAGCACAGTCCTGCTGTAAAGTGGATGAAAAAAGGAAGCTCCTTCTGTGGGTACACGGAGACATCATGAAAGGCTGAAAGGAAAAAAAAAAGATAATTATTTGCTATTTCAGGCATTTGGAGATGATACTATAAAGGAGTCCTCTATTTTGTGTTTCAGATACCCACCAAAAAACAAACCCAGCTCCATAGATTTTTCATAGAGAAAAATGGCTGAATAAAACAGTCAAAGTTTTATTCATTCCAAGCATAAATGTTTATACAGGTTGAACAATATACATTGTTGACCAGTGCCGGAATCACTGAAATATGAAAATAATAGCAGTAAATTTGGCCAGTACTTAAACAATCTTGGGGAGAGATGAGCAATGAGCAAGATTTTCAAAAAGGTCCCCTTAACAGACTGAAAGCGCCCCTTAGCGAATATGAAATATACAGAGGCCGAATCAGATATTTGTAATGTACACTTTGCTTGGTATGGTCACCACTCCATGCCAGTAATTCACATAGCAACACAGCAGTCACTCTCCCATACAGTGGTAGCATGTATCTACAGATATAGATCATTAGCTATTTCTTCCACATGGTGGTGTTCTCAGGACTGCTATGCATGGAGCACTGCATAAATAGTTCAACAGCTATTTAGTTATCAGCCAAGACATCATGTGTAAACCCAGAGAAAGATACATCCTCAAGCTACAGAAACTCTAACAAAGTTTAGGAAAATATTTTCCTTCCTTTTCACAAATGAAACTAAGGACAAGAAACTATACATCATACTTTGATCAGAATTTGGCATGGCTATGACAATGTTTTTATTTGCCTTGTTCTTAAGCATTATTTTAAAATCACTTTAATATGTATTTTATGCACTGCCCTGAGGCCCTTATAACCACAAGCCAGTCTATAAATATTTTAATAATGAAAAATGTCCCTTCTTCACTACAAAGATATGATAGAGCTAAGATTAGAATCTATAATACTAATTATGCCCTTTAAAAATAACTAAATAAAAATCACTAATTTATACAGAATTTGGAATCCTAGCCAAATCACATTTTATAAAGTGAAGACAAGGTAGAATGGGAACAGACTGACTACAAAGCAATCCCAGAAAACTAGAACCTAATTTAAAATTTATTTATATAAAAACAAAAGAGATGAATATTTTTTATTCAACTGCTGCAGTTAGATCTACAATACTGAAAGTCTCAATGAGCTAAGAAGTTTCCTTTTAACAGTAGATCAAACTAACAGAACTTTTAAAATTTGAAAACTGCTTGAGAGATGTAGCATTAAAAACTTTTAAGATAATTTCATTAATAGTTTTGTATTTAAAACTAAACAGGAATGCGCGAGTGATTGTGATGAAATGTCTGCATGCACTAGAGTTTAATTATACTGGGAAGCCCATGGCTCAAGGTTAGTCACTAGCTGAAGCATTCCTTGAGCAATATCCTGCATGAGTGAGAAATGAGTAATTTAGAGCAGTCTGGGGGCATATTTTAATTAATTTTTAAATGGAGCTTTTCAAGATGGAGTTTTTAAAATACTGAATCACATATATACAAGTGCACTTGTGGCAGATGTGCCCTTTTGGCTGCTTTGGTCATAAGCATTCCATATACTTTACAAACGAAACAGTCCCAAGATGCAAAAGTTAACACTTAACAGTCTCATCAGCACCTAGCATGGAACAAAACTTCATTATAATGTAAAGGGGTACCAACATTCAGCAACTGAGAAGCCTGAAGTGTATTTACAAAGGATCACTCATAGGACTGATCTGTGTGTAACAAGAAGCCACCATGGGTGAATTTCCCAGTGAGCTTTTTCTTATGGTGCTTTCTGTCATTTTGGAAATTGAAGCTACAGAGGGAGGGGAGGTCCTGCTGCTTGTCATTATATGTGAACCTGCACCTCTAAAACAGGCTATGAATTCTGGGTCTCTTGTTAACCATTCTAGCAACTCAGGTTCACCTATATATGACAGGTTCATACATGAATGACAAACTGAGGTTATCCCTGTTGTGTCTTGAATTTTCAAAATGCCAAACAGCAAGTCCTACAAGGAAATTCACCGACCGATACACGTGAACCATGTTTAGGTTTATTAGGCTACTTAGGTTAGGTTTATTATTATAAGATTAACTCAAGATTACAATCTACTCGAGGAGGAGCTCTCTTTTCTTTCTAATATCATCAGTGATACTTAAAACAAAAAGGGTTAAGCCAACTGTTAAAAAATAACCACTAAGCAGTAAATCTTTGCGCGTGCTCAAAGCTGTTGTTGTTTTTTTTAACAGAAGTAGCAATGAGCACACTGGAGATCAGGAGTAGCAATCCAGAGTACCATTGAGCACCCAGGGCAGTGCATAGCTACAGAACCATTAAGGAGGCCTGGAGGCTCTCAAAAGCCAGGCAAATTCTCAAGTTGGATTTTTTAAAGTTTGCCAGCTGTTACCCATTATACCACCCAGGAAAAACTTGTTGCGGTGCCCCCAAAATTTTCAGCAAAGGCTAAAGGTCAATACTTGCATCAACCTAATCCTAACCCATTTTTGAATGCAAATATTTAGGATTATCAAGAGATTTTGAGCACCTTCAAATATTATACACATTGCTTAATGTACTTCTGTGAGTCTATTGCTGAAGGACTTCTGTGCAGAATACATATATACATACATACATACATACATATATATATATATATATATATATAATGGGGTGGTAATTTCATGCATCTCTTTCACATTATATACTGCAACCTTTTCTATATCAAGTTTCTATATTTCATCTACGGGAACTGCCTTGTATATAGAAAACACGTAACATCAGAAGCAATCCTGAGCTAGTTAAAATGTTTGGTATAAGTGAATGGCATCCTTTTTAGTGTCAGAAGCTGCTCTGCAAGAATGATTCATTTTTATGAAGACAGGACTTGTTTTTCACATTTTTGCTACTGAATATAAATGGTCAATTAACAGGGAGCTCAGCTTACTTGACCTATAGCTTAAAAGAACGGAAAAGGGGTTAAATAATCCACATATTGCACAGGAAAGTACAAAAGGAAACTCCATAATATGTCCATAGGTTTTGATATAGGCTTATCTTTCTGCTGCAGCACTTCAATATTGTCCATTTCCCAGTGTGGACTGGTGCTGAATATGCTGAACCTTTTCTCACATTCTCCTGCCTACTCTCTAAGATCAGCAAATGAAGCCGTCTTGGCAGTGCCTCAGCCATTTACTATCGATCCAGTAACCTCTTCACAACAATGGCACCTATCTTCTGAACAGTCTTCTCTTGGACATTAGGCACGAGGCAACAATATTATGATAAATGGTTCAGCATTCTGAGAGCTGTCGCTAATTGGTTTATTCAATCAATCAATCAATATCATTTTGTCACATGCTGGAAACTCATTTGTTTCAACACTAAAACAAAGAGTTGCTATTGATCATTGGTACTGTCAACATATTGTACTGTCAGATTTAGTATTTGTCATGAATGATTCTGTGGTTTTTCTCTTGTTTTCTCTTATGTATACACTGATAATACTATAACTGATACAGATTTTTAATGAAGTGAATAAATGTTTATATTACCCACAGATAGTCTTCAGTCAAGCAGTAGCAATTATCCGCTGAAGGAAAAAAGCAATTTTTGAATGATGTGGTGCTGACTTGAAAGGGTGTGGATGCCTACTAACACCTAAGTACTGAGCATCTTGTTTATAGTGTACATGGTTGGAGGAAGTACTGACTAAATTTGCAGTCCTACAGTGGGAACCTGAGAGCAGTATATCTTACCAGGAAGAAATGCTTGGTTTGGCCTGGGAGTGGGCAAACACGGCAATGTATAATGTACCAACAAACAGAGAATATTTCTAAGAAAAAATGTGCTGTGTGCTGCTTCAGACAAAAAAGTAGGGATACTTGACAGCAAAAAATATGCTTTAAAACCAGCTGGCAATATGGAAGCAATAGAGAAACTGAATTAAGAAGGCAACAATGTTTCACTCCTTTTGGAAACATTAGGAAGAGGAACACTAACTCTAAGTACCACTTCTCAGGTTACTCTCACTGCACAGAAGTCAAAACAGCATAACTCCTTCCCATACCACAAGCTGTTGTGTAAGAAACCCCCAAGCCATGTGAAAGGAACATAAACTTTGCTTCTTTCCCATACCAGTCTCTCACCTCCTGGAAAGTGAAGGAAAGGCTGACATGTGGAGAAGCCACAGGATGAATCTCTCTCACACAGCCTGGGTTCGGGCATATCATTTGCAGCATGGGAAGGAGCTTCACTGCAGCAATTCCCACACTGAAAAGGCAACGTAAACAGGTTCTAATTTTACAGCATATAAAAATCTATTCAAAAGGAATAGACAGAGTGATTACCTGTAGATGGAGGGAAAAAAAACAAGAGAAATTAAATGGTCACTTACTTGGTAACAACTCTCTATCTGCTGTCTCTGTACAGCTAGGATAAGGATAAAATAGATGGCCCTTTTCTAATGGATATGGAATCATTCTAAATGCTGAGAAAGAGGGGGAAAGAGTCATTGACATCAAACCCATCCCAACTTCACCTCAATGGTCATATCTACGTTAAATGTAGCATCTTGGAGAGGTCAATATAATAGACCACCCTTCCTCACCCTGGCACCCTCCAGAAATGTTAAGAGTGCAAATCCTAGCAGAACTGGAGGGTGTCAGGTTGGGGAAGGCTGCAATGGATTGCAGGGAGCTTAGAAGGACAAGAAGTTAGAATTATTTCTGTTTCTCCCTAGATAAAGGTGTATATCAAAGCTACAAAGATAGCCTCAGTTGGAAATCCAACTAGATATGAGAAGGCACAGGAAATTGGCTAGCAGTGACCAGAAGTACAAATAAAAGATCAGGAAATAGATAAACTTGTCATCAATCTAGCTTTTTGTTTGTCTGTGGAAGATGCATTCAGATCTCTTTTAACATAACCATTCTATTCTCTTTCGGACTATGATCTTTGCTCCGTACAATCCATCTGGTCTCTCCTTCACAAACCAATGGGGATACATGTTTATAGGTGGCTACTCACACTTCACAAACACCCTGCTGACATCCAAGCCTAATTCGAAGTGTTGGTGTCGACTTTAAAGCTGTAAATAGCTTAAGAACTGCTACCTTTTGCCATGTCTCTACCCAGTTATGGAAACCATCTTCAGAGGTCCTTCTATGAGTCCATCCCCCACAGCGGTGACACAGATGGCTATAAGTGAAAGAGCCTTCTCTGTAGTGGCCTTCCATCTGTATAATGTCCTTGCCAGGGCTTTCCTTACATTCATTTAGACACCAGCTTAAGACCTTTCTCTTTAAGCAGACATTTGATCTGATATTCAGTGTTAATATTAATATTAACATGATGTAATACTTATTTTTATATTATTCTGATATTTTTATTGTTGTATCTTTTGCATTTTATTGTTTGTTTTTTAAGTGTAAACCATCCCAAGGGCATTTCCCAGTTGGGCAGAGATCATGAAGAAGAACAAAGCTTTCTTTGGTGTATGGTGTGATGAAGACTACTCCAGGAAAACACATCATGTGCAAAAGACCAGATTTGGCCAGTATGTTTCCAGTAGCATGCTAACAGGTTTGCTTTGCTGTATTCAAGAATGGGAGGGAAAATGGCACCCAGAAGTTGGTGTTGATCTGGAAATTAATTTTAAAGGTAGCATCTGATTCCATCTGTTGACCAGATCTTTTGTAAAGTGGCCATTGCTAGGAATCAGCAAAGGCACTCCAGAGTTTCAGAAACAAATAGGATCCTTTAAGCCTCCTGGGACGGACCAAGTGTTCATGTGGCAAAAATTCAAGCATTGTGTTTGTGCTGGACTTATTATGGGGAACGGAAAGGAGATTTCAGTCTCCAAACTTACCAGTTCTATTTGAAGGAATAAAACAACTCCAAGATTAAACACAGCAGTTTGGATTGATTACTAGGTTTAACAATGAAAGGAAAATATGACTCACAAATTCAATGATGTCTTAGTAGTTTAATGGTGTAATTAAAAAAAAAGAGGCTAAAAAACAAAAATGTGGGGAAAAAGGATAGTAATTTCCTATTCAAAATTGACATTTTTAGGGAAAGGGACATTTAAATTCCTTCTTTTTCTTAAAGGAAAAGAGAAAATTAGAAGACCAGTAAAATGGCTAATACCCTTCAACATCTGCCTTTAAAATTCTAGTAAGCATTTTAAAATATACTTTTAAAATGAATTTAATCACTTTGTATGTAGCATATTCATGATATTCTGGTTTGATACCCTTTTAAGTTGTTGGTAATTATACATCATAAGCTTAGTCACTTGGTTAGGCTGAGCTACCTCCAACTCCACCCAAATCATAGGCTACAGTGCAATGAAGTGCAACATTTCCTGCCTTAAACTATTATTTTCCACATCAATTCACTAGCCTTGGACACTCTGCATGTCTGCCAGAGGCAATGCCTGATTATTGCAAGAAAATTCCATGACCCATTCTGCAAATGGCTGCAAGCCCTGCTAAGCTCAACTGTTACACTGTATGACATGAGATAAAATTTTACTACAGGGAATCTCAGTATTGAGTCAGGACAACTCCACAGAATATTCATATGAACACAGGAACCAGAGGTTTCAGGTGCTCATTTAAAATGCTTAACTGCATAACAAAGACTATCTTATGCCACCTACAAAAGAATACTTACTGCCCTCCCATGTGCAGTGCAAAAGATTAAGGGCCCCTTCTATTCGCTTCCAGTGTTGAAGATGGAAGAATGCATAGGCCACTGCTTCACTGTCTCCACGTTTAAGAATGTGCTCCGGAGGTAAAATTAAGCTTTTCATTTCTAGTAAATACTGGGGGGGAAAAAGTGCAAATTGATGTGACATACAACTTGTTCTTAATATCTACAATCTCTCAAATATTTCACACATAGTTTCAGTTTGACTGGTATATTACATCAGGAAGAAGTATAATTGATTGGAAAAAATGTGAATTATTTGTGAAATGTACATTTGAGAAATTCCTCTGATATATGTGTATACAGACACCACTGCATAGTACATAATTAATGGAAATACTAAACCTTATTGTTAATGTTTTATGAACACATCCATATTTCAGACTTGTATGGAAAGTGGTTCTAAGAACAGTAAGTAACTGCTGATCTAGCCAAACTAAAAGACAGCTATTTTTAAAGTATCAGGGGAAACTTTTTGCCCATTTAACATAACTATTATAATGCTAAACATCACATCTTGGACATAATTTTTCACACAAAAAACTACGGAGGCAGCTTTGATCTAACACAAAACAAAGAAAATTGCTAAAGCCCAGAAGCAGGGAAGCACCTCACTCCAGCAAAAAGAAGGTCTGGAGCTGTTCACATGACATAACAGCTCACCACATATTATTTAACTAGAGTGAGGCTGAGCCACTAGCAATCACCATTTTGAATATGAAACCCTACTTTTCATTGATTTTCATGCCAAACAAACCAGAAAAGTGTCCTGAACTGCACAAAGTGGAGGCGATCTGTGACTTGAATCTGTGACTTGACTTTAGTCTTGGTTCCTAGATTAAATAAGTCACAATGCGCTACAGTATATTGTCCAAACCTGGTCGCTATATGCATACCAAACCCTACTCCTGGACTGCTGAATTACAGACTTCAGTATGGAACTGTTAGATGCAGATGGCACATTTGGACTTACAACAAATGCCAATACTGCAACAAGTATTTGCACAAAGTTACCACAGAGGAAAACAGCAGAAGGAACTAATATCCTTGAGGAACAACTAGCTTGCAAATTTGTCCAATGGAAAAATGGATTTGGTAAACATCAACAAAAAGCCACAATAAACTAGAGCATGTTTCTCACGAAGAATGCAATTGTAGATCAGGGATATGAGCTTAATGCCAAGTAGTTGTTGAAGCAATGAAACATGTAACTTCATGGTGAGCTAGAGGAGTTTTCATTTTAATTGAACAGGATTTCATACTGACAGGTAGGAAGGTCCGCAACAGAGGAAATTCCACTAATACGTCCCTTAGTTTAACAAAAAGAAAAGAAAAATGAACACAAAATTCTGTTCCAGTGCTCTGCCTTCAATGACTAGAAGTCTAACAGCAGAAAATGATACAGATAATTTTTCTCATTAGATTAACTGCAGGTTGTACACCTTAAGCTGATATATGAAGTAGGCAACTTGATGCCCTCTGGATGTTCTGAACTATAACTTCCATAATCTCTAGCTATTGGCTATGCAATCAAAACATCTGAAGGGCACCAGGTTGGTTATTTTTTATGGTTGTGTGACAATCTTCTCTTACAACTCCTATATACTTAAAGCACAATGTCATTCACAATACAGTAGATTCTATATCCCTTCTCCAAAATATATAGGATTGCTTTGGATGCACTCTTCTACCAATACCTAGTCCTCTTTTGAAAAGCATACACATATACACACTATGTATGCACCCATGCACAATGCTCAACTTTAAAAAGGACAGTTTTAAAAGGTATATAAAGTGTTAAAAGTCACAAGTTAAAGATTTCCTTTAGGAAAATAAGTTAGAAAGTTTATAAACATTGAATGAATGGCTTTGAAGAATTTACTTACGAATTGGCCTGTTCCACTCAATAATGAGTGAAGTTAATCCTATCTTTGATCACTGTAGCCAATAATTCCATCAGTTCTTCTCAAAACGATAAGAATGCAACCAACTTGCTGATTTATTTCAGCAGATGCCACAAACCATGAGATTATTTACTAATCCAGTTTAGGGGACTTAACTTTTCCTATTCAGATTCTTAAAGGAATGTAGCCAAGGTTGTGCCCTGGTCAAATAAAGTGCATTTACTGCCTGGCTAGGTTCTTCTCTTAGTGGCTTAGGGCTACTTCTGGGAGGGCAATATTCTTACTAATCCCATTTAATCCTCTTTGACAATTTTTTTTTTTTTTTTTTTTAAGACACAGTAAGGGATCACTCGCACAGGGCCATTGTGGGAAAATGGTCTCAAATATCTGACCTCTGACATGCCTCCTCATGGTCTCTGCAATTACTAGTTTGATGTTGAGCTAGATTTCATAAATAACAAAAGGGGAAAGTTGCAACAATGGTCAAGCCTGGACTAAGTTAATGTCTCAGCTTGTAGAATCATCGATTGTGAACACTCCAGCTCAGGGGTTAAAGTCTGGCTGTCTTTCTGTATTATGCCATGCAGACATGTAGCATAAATAAGTGGAAGTTGCAAGAATAGGCAATTTTAAAATTCACATTTAACTAATTATTTTCAGAGCAAAAACAGAGGTTGAGAAGATATTAATGAAGAAAATATTGTAATTGTGAATCCAGAATGCAAGACCATCGCTCTCTCTCCTCACCCAGTCCCAGTGATCTTCTTAGCTCTTAATAATTTCATTAATATTTGCTCCTACCTCCAGCACTTGTATCTAAATGTGACAGAACTGAGATATGCTCATCCTGAAGATATAAACACTTGATCTTTACAATTTGTTTAGAATGATACTGTAGAAGCTATGAAATATCACAGGGAGATATGGAAACTTCCTTTTCTCATATTAATCTCTGTTTAGCCACTTTAGAAAAGGAGCCTTTATTGTTGCCTTTGCATACTAAGGAAATTGTTGTTACTGCCATGTGCCATCACGTCATGTCCAAGTTATGGATGCTCTATGAATGAATGCCCTCTAAAATGTCCTGTCCTTGAAAGTGCAACTCAACTCTTGTAAAATCAAGGCTGCATCTTCCTTTATGAAACTCAGCCAACTCATAGTTGGTCTTCTTCTTCCCCCTACCCCACTGCTTTGACCTTTCCTAGCATTACACTCTTCTTGGGAACTGCCTAAAGCATGACAGCTTGTTTTTTTAATTTTTGCTCCCAGAAAAATTTCTAGTTTGATTTGATCTAGGACACAGCTCTCTGTCAGGATCCAGGTTATTTGCAAAGTTCTCCTATAGCACCATGTTCCAAACACATAAATTCTCTTCCTGTAGTTTTTTTCAACTGTCCAGCTTTAACAGTATTACACAGTGATTAGAAATACAACAGTATGGATGATCTCGGTCTTTGTCTTCTTCACGTGAAGCAACTTTACACTTGATTATTTTTTCTAGTTCTTTAATTGCTGCCCTTCCAAGCCTCAGTCTTCTTCAAATTTCTTGGCTACAGTGTCCCTTTCAATTGATGACTGTGCCAAGGTATATAAAATCTTTCACAATTTCAATTTCTTCATTGCTGACCTTAATATTCTTCTGTAGCCATAATTTTTGTTTTCTTAATGTTCAATTGTAGTCCTGCTTTTGTACTTTCTTCTTTGGCTTTCAAGCAGGAATCACTTCAATTCACTGCGAATTTCTGCTAGTAATATAGTATAATCTGCATATTTTAAATTACTGATATATCTACTGTCAATTGTCACTCCCTCCTTTCTTACTAATCCAGTTTTCCTTATACTATTTCTGCACACAGATGGAAGAGATATGGAGACAAAATACACCCTTATTGGCCTTTGACAAACACAATATTTGTGCATATTTGTATAACACTTAAACCTTATGCAAATTATCTAATTTTTCTCTTGGAACTCTAGATATCTGTTCCAACTCTGATGCCACAGTTAAGAATTCTAGATATTTATGTGGCTATTCAATTAACTGATCAGTCTGAACTGAACGGAGATCCCTTACTCCATAGTTTGCTTGTTAACTGGAAATTCAGATTCTGCTCAGAGTTTATTTATTTGGGAATACTTGTCTTTACAGATGTATCTCAAATCACTGTGCTAAATTTAAGTAGGGTAAATAATGAGATCTTGCAGGGCATTGATAGATGGGCATCTTTAAAATTAAGTCTATGGAGTAAATACACTTATAATGAGTGTAATACCTTGAACTGTGTTTTATATTGTATTCCTCTATTTTTCACCCAGTATTTCAAAAGAGAATGCCTTGTTTTGTAAATTCCTATGGGGTTCCATTCCGTAATGAATTTCCTTGAAAACTTAAGTCACGTGTAAGAAGACTGCTATATTTTATTTCAATTTTATTTTTTCTCCTTCTTGCTGCAGTTTGAGTTTTGGCCTTTATTTGGAAATTCACAATAAAAACTAGTAAAAATGTGATATAACTGAGATATATTAAGTAGTATACACTTTTAGACACTCTCATTAATTGGTGGATTTCATTTCCAGCTAGGAATAGTATTTGATGGAAACAGGTTTCTGAATTCAAGACCAGCTTCTCAGATTTGCCAGTGATCTCTTATTAAGGAACAAACAAATTGTTTAAAAATTCCCTGAGTACCTAGCTGGTATCCTATTGGCCCACTTACCTGGAAGTATGAGATATTCAACTCAGTGGAATTTTTTAAAGGGAGGAGAATTTTTTTAAATTTCATAAAATTTCACTGCCAGTTTTATATTCTTTCTTCTTTGAACATTTAGTTTTGACTAAGATTATTTTAAGGGCTTGGTATTAGAAGAAATCCATATTTTTTTAAAAAAAATCAAAACATACAATTGTTACTTCAAAAGAATATGTAATTTTTAGATTGAACGTGTATTACCTGGAAAATCATCTCAGGTAGTATGTGTGCACACAAACAAAAATGCAGCAACTGGTCAGGTTAATAATAACCATTATAAATAGTGTGGATGCACACTATTTGTTAGAACTGGACTTTTCCTTAACCCAAAAAACTGTGTCTGTATCTAATATAGCTGACACATCATTCTTACCAGTCCCTTTGTAAGCTGGAATTTGTACTAATACAAATAATGAAATCTGAAAGAAAGCATTACCAGAAAGGACAGTAAAATTATTGAT